TCTTCCTTCTTCCTGATGTTGCTGTCATTCGGTATCACTACGTCTACCACTACGGCTATCTTCCTCTGCTTGTCCGCCACTACGTGCATGTAGTAGTAATAGTAGTTGTTGTAGTTCTGCTTTTTCTTAAAGTGATATTACAAGATAAAAGCAGCAAATTTGTGGGACCTGTTTGTTCAGCTGGTTTGGTATAGTGGTTAATTTATTTATTAGTGGAAGCTTGTTAGGGGCTGTCTGACATTATTATTTATGTACCCTTTTCCCCTGTTTTGAGGCCACCCAAGGACTTCAGGCGATATATCTTTGGTTTCAATCTTGAGAATAGTGTTTGTGTACTTTCTATTAACAGTTGGAGGGTTTGTGGCCTAGGAGACCCTGGTGTTAATTTGCTTCCCTTTTCTTCTCCTATTCATTTTCATTGTGTAAGTTAATTTTAAATAGTTAATTGTAAAATTGAAAAAGTTTTTTAATAATAATAATAATAATAATAATAATAATGAAATAAAAAAAACCTTTTGACACAATGGCTAATTTGTTTGGAGGCTAAGTCTATGGTTTGGTCTGTTAACACTTACTGTTACTGTGTTACTGACACTGTTTTACACTCCATAGCTCCCCTAGACTTCTCAGGCAAGAGGACTGTAACAATCATGGATGAAACAACAATTCAAAGTTTAATTATAAATGGTTTACATGACTAAAACTGGTGCTTGGACAAAGGGTTGTAACTGTTTGCTAAAATAAGGATAGCTGTTAACTGGGAAAAACTAATTAACAACCTCAAATTAATGGCTCAAGAAAAGTGGAAATGTTGGTGTTTCATGATAAAAAAAAGAAACTGATAAATTAGGAATACCCTTTTCATTCTAAAATGAATGATTCAAAAAAAGAGAGAGTAGTGGCTACATTGACAACACGTGAAATACGTAGTTTAAAGCATAGTACAGCTGTAAGCTATCACTGAACATCTGGTTAAAATTTCAATCACTTTCGTGTAAATAATTCTTCCTTCTCCTTTCTTTCATTGTTCTCATCACATAAAAGGTCTTGAATAATCAGGCCCCATCTCATCTGAAAGACCTCATAGTACCATATCACCCCAATTAACCCTCAAACTGCTGGCTTACTTGTGGTTCCCAGGATGTTTAAAAGTAGAATGGGAGTTAAGCTGCTGGGGGGCTTCCCTTGTTGCAGTGAGCATTCCTTCTTCTCTCACCTCTTTTTACTCACTGCATTTAATTATTAGTTATTGATGATCTCTGGCTTTCTTCTACATCATATTTTTGTCCTGTCTTCCTCCCCTAACCCCTAATCTTTGTATTGTCTCTATATGAATTTCTTTTGGAAATTGTAACATCAGTTTGCAGCCTTTCAGATGTTTTTTGTGAAGAACAAAAACAGCGTGTTTCTATTTCTGTCTTTATTAATTGCTAAAAAACAAAACAAAAAAAACCCCATCAACCGAACATTTGGGAGTTAAAGAATGCACAGGTCAGCTTGGACTGTGTCAATGTTCTTGATAACACACAATTTAATTAATTAATTAATTGATCTGCTCCTGATAAAGGATGAGAGAAGTTGAAAGGGACCGTTGATCTTGGTAACAGAGAACAACTGGCATGAATGCCCTTTCCTGTCAATTACGAAACACAATCATTATGATAAAAATGGCACATTTCTCTGTAAGCATTTCAGCAGCAAATTTAAAAGAAAAATCCTAAAATTGCAAAAATCGTCTCATCACAGAGACCAGTTTGCATCCTACTCATAGCTTTCAATAAGATTATTTGTTCTTTTGAAGATAGTTACCCAAATTAACAAATTTACAGGAAATGTGGGAATTACATTTTTTCCTTTCGGCTTTAAAATAATTAAAATACACTGACATCACTACTAATAACAATGGGAACACTGACGGAAAGCAGAAAATACATTCTGACCCAAACTTTTCTACAACTTTTGCACAGTTAATTCTTGTCACATCAAAAACATTCATGAATTCAGAGTTCAGTTGCTTCTTGGACAAAAAATTGTTTGTTTTTTTAATCTTATTTGGGGTTCTTTTAATAGATAGTGTTTATTGAAGGGTTTTAGATGAGGCTAGTATTTTGAATATAATTTTTTATATCAATATTTTGTCAAATATTTAATGTTCCAAATGTTTTGTTTGTTTTATACTACAATAAACTCAATAGTCTAAATAACAATATTGGTGATGGTTTAAAGAAACATTTTTTATGATGACCAAGACAAAACAAGACAAAAAAAGTTTAATGTTTCTTTGCTTTGTCTTTATTATTTATTATTATTGTTATTATAGATTGAACAAATTTGGACTTCTGACTTCTTTATTTGATTATTTGTTTATTTAGTTATTTATTTTTCAAGCCATTTTTGGTAAGACTCTATTGTGGTTTTAAGACCATTTCATTTCTATAACAATATTAAAATTAAACAAAATTCTAAAAATAGAAACAAAATTCTGACAGAATCGCATCATTTTGGGAAAAGAAAATTTGACAAGATCAAAAATGATCAAAATGTTTTTTAAAAAAAGTAAATAAATTCAAAAAGTTGACACATGAATTATATTTGACCCTTTATCTGAACATTTCCACCTTATTGAGGTTTTTAAAATTTAATTTAAAATACATGGAAGGCAAGTTACTTATGATTAACAGGAAAATACAATTACAGTTTAATTGAAAATTGGGGTTAAAAATAGTTTGTTTAAATAACAAACTGATTTTATTTATAATCATGACTTATGTGATTTTTTTAATAGGTAAGTAAAGTTTGCCTCAATATTATTTTTCTTTTTGAGCAGAGTAGACTTCATATGTAGAACAATAATAAAGCATTGGTAAAAGATTTATTCATGACGATTAAAGAAAAATGAACTGTTGTTTCAAGCAGCTGAGCTCTGCATTCATAAGTGCGTCCCTGTATGGGAAGGTAAAAGGGGATAGAGGACAGTTTTCTTTAATTCATTTTCATATTTTAAACATCTGATAGTAAGTGCTACATGTTCTAGTTGTTCTTAGAGGGTGAGTATAAAGTCTGATTCCTCTATGTGGATCACTTTCTATGTATGTCGTAAGTGTTATTCAGTAAAATTAACCTTGATGCATCAAAACACATCAATAAGTCACTATTTTATCATGCTTTGACTGTCTGGTAAAGTGTATTTTGCAGAGAAATGCTGTGTATCAGCATGTTTGGATATCTGTATAAAATCTGAAGAAGCACTTTATGTTCTGACCAGGTCTTGAATGACGCAGGACCACAATGATCCACATTAAGCAGATGAGATGAAACACAATCCATCCCAGCCTACAGGAGTTACAGCCACTGACTCTCCAGTAGGTGCTGCGACATGACGGTTTGGAACTACAAACAGTGTCTGGACCTCTTTTACTTTCCAATCAGTTTGAAAGTCTGTGAGTCCTGGTCAGCTGGAGGTTTCGTGACTTGGCTACATGGCAGAGTTCACATGTATTTTGTGTACAAACACGTACTCCTCATCTGACCCTGTACATCTGCTTGTTTGTCCTGCATGTTTAAGATGATGAGGTGACATTCCCCGAGGACACTACGGTTGTCTCCCTCGGTGAGTACTCCACTTCCTCCTTGTTGGGATGAGAGGAGTTATCAGACTTGCTGCGGCTAAACTCCGCCCCCATTATTGGTCCTGTGAGCTTGGTGCGTGGTCGAATAAAGGCAGTACAGCACAACAGTGTCTTTAGGAATGCACGCCGCATCTCGTTGCTGGTCAGCGTGTAGATGAGTGGGTTCATGGCAGAGTTCAGGACTGCAAGTGCCAGGAACCACTCTGCCTTGTAGAGGATTGGGCAGCTTAGCGTCTCACAGGCCACATCTAGCAGCAGGAGGATAAAGAGTGGTGCCCAGCAGGCAATGAAGCAGCTGAGAACGATGATGACTGTCTTCAGGAGTGCCATTGACTTCTCTGAACTCTTACTGTTTGCACTGGCATTGCTGCGACCATTGGACACTTTGCGGAAGACCAGTTTGCGGCTACGAGTGCGCACCAATGCATAGATCCTGGCATAGAGCACCACAATGGCCATAAGAATGATACTGAAGACAGTGGTGCAGAACAGGATGTAGGCTTTGTGGTAGAGTGGTAGCACGGTGGAGCACTGTGTCATACTCTGGATGCAGTTCCAGCCCATCACCGGCAGACCGCCTAGAACGGCTGCGATCATCCACACAGTGCTGATGAGTAGAAAGACGCGGAAGGTGTTCCCATTGTTGTGCAGCTTCATCTTCAGCATGGTGAGGTGGCGCTCAATGGCAATGGCAAGTAGGCTGAAGACAGAGGCCGCCAGCGCCACAAACATGCTGCCTTCCCTGAAGAACCACTGGGTGGGTGTCAACTTGTAGGTATTGGCACCTGACAGTAGGATGTTGGCAGTGTAGACGACACCAGCCAGAAGATCAGACAGTGCGAGGTTCCCAATGAAGTAATACATGGGCTTGTGGAACTTCTTGGTCCTCCAGATTGTAGTCAGGACCAGGATGTTCTCTAGGATGATGAAGCAGCACACAATGATGAAGATCACAGAATCAGCCTTCAGACCTGAGTCCTGCTCCGTCTTCCGGAACTTGCCGGTGTAATTGTAGTGTTTGGCAATCAGATCAGAGTAGCTGGGCTCAGCCATGGCCTCCATCTGCAGCACTAGTCCAGCAGGGGGCACCGTGTCCTCAGACTTCAGTCCTTCATGTTTGGTAGTAACTGTGAAGAACAGCAGAGAGAGTCCAGCTGAATGGTGACATGGCCCTACAGAGAGAAAGAAAAAAACATTAATAACTGGTCTCACATCAGCATATTAGACAACAAATAGTCTTAAATCAGAGTCTACACTACAGAAATATTCTTCTACAGAACCCTTTTCATGCACTTTGATTAGAAACTGTTCACTGAGAGCCAGAACAAACAAAAAATGTCACTTCAATTTGTGATGAAACAATGATCCAGCAAAAAAGAGACTAATCTTTAGTAAGCAACTTAAATTCAAGGCATTTAAACTGTAAGTCCATACGAATACTCAACTAAAAGTATCCTTTAGAATCATAAGATAATGAAACCTCAGATGACATTCAAAGCTTGCTTCATCAACCTAGCTGCTCCTAATCAGCTGGTTTGAAAGCAAAGATCAGAAAAAAACTAAACTACTTTTAATCTATATTGTAAGAAAATCTTTCATTTTAGAGTTAAAAAAAATGCAACAAATGAAAACAAAAATGAAAAGCAAATCTCAAGTCTTTCTTCAGTCTGATGTATTAAGAGAAAGATAGAAGCTTTAGAATGCCTAAAACACAGTACAACACAACATTGCAGTATATTTTGTTATATTTACCTTTTAATCATTAAATAAAAAAGAAATGTTGAATTGTGCAGCTGTATAAACTTTGCTTTCTTGAGTCTGGGATTTGATTTAATTTAACCAAAAATATATGGAACACCAAATAAAAGAAACCACCAAATGATTAATCTGCCATTCCTGATGTGTCAAAAGAATATTTTTTGTTTACAACTTACTTTATAACTAATCCTTTACCTATTTGTCATCACCCCC